CCCTGATTGGGTTCCCATTGGGCGGGGTATAAATAAATTTTATTATATATTATTTATTATATTAAACTACTTTATTTTTGGTGCAGAAACCAATCCCTATTCTTTCTATGTTGTTGGTATATAGAGAGATCTTGTAGCACTTTTGAGACTCACTGAAATTAAGCTTTCATAGACTTCAGTCTACTTCCTCAGATGCATTAAATCTATGAAAGCTCATGCAACCAACTTCTTTATTTCAGTGGGTCTCAAAGGTGCTACAAGATCTCTCTACATACTGATTCTACAGACTAACACTGCTATATCTTTGAATTCTATGTTATTTTCGCCTGTTGTATTAACTTTCTCTTAAAGAAAGAATTCCCAGGTACAAATCAATTTTGTTAACATGAAACATGCTGGTATAAAAGCATTAAAAAAAACACTGGAGCAACGTAAATAAAAGTGGAGTAGACACACCCCACAAGAGTCCCTTTTTGCAGAACCAGTTAGTTGCCAAACTAATGGAGGAACTTTAGATTCAGCTGGAGGAGGCAAGGAGCAAGAAACAGAAAGCTCTCGCAAAACCACCTGTGTTCGAAAATTGCAAATCGGAAGTGGCATTCGCTCATAGGGTCACCTGAAGCGCATTTGTTGTTAGTGTAACTTCCCATAAGCACTGCTACATTTCATATATGTCTCATGTGTGTGAGGTTGTACATAATGGTAGCTTTTAAAGAAGTTCTGTCATTTGGGTAGACAGTGGATTAATTGTTGTAATTGTTTTTTGCTTTAATTGACTTTTATTATTTTACCTATTGTTTGTATTTTAGATTGTACGCCTTTGGCAGGTTTTTATTCTATTTTATGCTTGATTGTCTCTTTGTACAGTGCTGTGTACATTGACAGCGCTTTAGAAATAAACTTTAATAATAATAATAATAATAATAAGTATGTGTTCTTTGAAGGGTAGAAAAGAAAGAAAAATAAATATTGCTCCCAGAGTAGGATAGACAGACCAAAACCACAAAATGGCAGAACACTTCTAATAGTCACCTACAGTCCCCATCTGAGACCACTCAAATGCAACCAATTCTGGAGAACAACATAGCCCTCTCTTGGCAAGTTTTTTCAGAGGGGTTTGCCATGGCTATCCTCTGAAGCTGAGAGAGTGTAACTTGCTGGGATTCAAACCCTAATCTCTGGAGTCACAGTCCATTGCTGAAACTTCCCAAACGTGTGTGTGAGAGAGAGAGAAAGAAAGAAAAAGAAAGAAAGAAAGAAAGAAAGAAAGAAAGAAAGAAAGAAAGGCAGGCAGGCAGCATAGAAAAAGGGAGTTGGGGCACATATATGGTTTGTTGTGTCAGAGTTCTTCCAACATTTGCCCAAATTTCAGATTCTGCACAGCCATTAAAATGTGGCACAGTGGTTTGACTGCTGGACTGTGACTCTGGAGACCAGGGTTTGATTCCCAGCTCTGCCATAGAAAGCCATTGAGTGACCTTGGGCAAGTCACACTCTCTCAGCCTCAGGGGAAGGCAAGGGCAAACCTCCTCTGAACAAATCTTGCCAAGAAAACCCCATGATAGGGTTGCCATAAGTCGGAAAGGATTTGAAGGCTGACAACAATTAAAATGGTCAGAATTAATTTTTGTATTGGAGCAACAGTGTCACTGTCTGTGAGCATGTAAAGAGTGACACTATTTGTTAATCTATTATCAGTAAATCTATTATTATTATTATTATTATTATTATTATTATTATTATTCTTCACTTTTGTATGTTTTTAATTGTATTTTTAAAATTGTAAGCCACTCTGGGTTCCAAGTTTGAGAGATACTACTACTACTAATAATAATAATTGCTATTATCAGACCACATATATACTTGGGAGTAGAAGGAGAGGACCTCTGATGGCATTTGAAACCCAGCAGCATTTTCTTCCACAAATTTAAGTGTGGGTTACTCCCTAATTTGCGTATTGTGGCAATTGTGTCCCCCACCCAGAGTGACCAGACATCTTCCTTTTCCTGGACATGTCCTCCATTTCAACCTTCTGTCCAGGAGGAATTTCAAAATGTCCTCCATTTTGAGCAGGACTAAGAAGCATGAATTTACATTTCTACATTTGCTTTTTTTTTTTTGGCCGTGTCCTCCATATTTTATTGAAACATCCTCCATTTTGCAGTGCCTCCTCCTACCCCTTTGTGGTTATGACATCTGGACACCCTGTCCCTGCTGAGCCATGGAAACCCACGTGGGCAAGTCACACTCTCTCAGCCTCCTCAGAGGATGGCAAACCTCTTCTGAAGAAATCTTGCCAAGAAAACCAAGTGATCAGGGTAACCAGATGTGCTCCTTTTCCAGGACGCATCCTCCATTTCAGCCTGGAATTCCAATAGGTCCTCCATTTTGAGCATGACTTAAGAAGCATGAATTTATATCCCTATGAGTGTTTTTAGTGTTTATTTTCTATCCACGAAGAATTCCAACAGATCCTCCATTTGAAGCACAACTAAGAAGCATGAATTTATCTTTATATGAGTGCTTCTAGTTTTTATTTTGGTCATGTCCACTTTTGATCATGTCCTCCACTCTTCTTGAATTTTGTCCTGCATTTTTGTGGTGCCTTGTCTTCCTTTGCGGTTAGGACACATCTGGCCCAGGGTGACCAGGCATCCTCCTTTCCCAGGACCATGTCCTACATTTCAGCCTCATGTCCAAGAAGAATTCCAATAGGGCCTCCATTCTGAGATGACTTAAGAAGCATGACTTTATATTTATATGAGTGCTTTTAGCTTTTATTTTCTATCCAGGAAGAAGTCCAATAGGTCCTTCATCTTGAGATGACTTAAGAAGCATGACTTTATGTTTATATGAATGTTTTTAGCTTTTATTTTCTGTCCAGGAAGAAGTCCAAAGTATCCTCCATTTTGAGATGACTTAAGAAGCCTGAATTTACATTCTTAGGAGCATTTTCAGCTTTTATTTTCTGTCCAGGAAGAACCCAATGGTTTAAGAAGTGTGACTTTATATTTATATGAATGTTTTTAGCTTTCATTTTCTGTCCAGGAAGAACCCCAATGGTTTAAGAAGCATGACTTTATATTTATATAGTGTTTTTAGCTTTTATTTTCTGTCCAGGAAGAAATCCAAAGTAGCCTCCATTTTGAGATGACTTAAGAAGCATGACTTTATATTTATATGAGTGTTTTTAGCTTTTATTTTCTGTCCAGGAAGAACTTCAATGGTTTGAGATGCATGACTTTATATTTATATAGAGTGTTTTTAGCTTTTATTTTCTGTCCAGGAAGAAGTCCAAAGTAGCCTCCATTTTGAGATGACTTAAGAAGCATGTCTTTGTTTATATGAGTGTTTTTAGCTCTTATTTTCTGTCCAGGAAGAATCCCAATGGCTTAAGGAGCATTAATTTACAATTATATGAGTGTTTCCCTCTTGGTCCTGTCCTCTTTTACAGAAGTCCCTCCATGTTGCAGTAGTTCCTTGTCCTCCTTTTCAGTCAGGCAGTCAATCATCCTGAGGTAATTTCTGAGGTAACTGTGAGGCCTTCCCATCCCATCCCATTCCCAACCCCCCAAAAGCCGTCTTTTCTGTCTCTTTATGGGCAGGGCCCTCCTCCTCCTCCTCCTCCTCCTGGCTTCCCTACTATTAGGTTACTCCTCCTGTGAGTGTGGTGTTGTGTATGTGTGTGTGTGTTGTTGTTGTTGTGTGTCAGGTGATTTGGGTCACGCAGAGAGTTTTCTCTCTCTGTCTGTCTCTCTCCTTTGGGAGGAGGAGGGACTGTGGGGCCTAGGCCTGGCTTTCCTTTGACAACTGCTGCTGCGAAGAGGAAGAAGAAGGAGAAGGGAAGGGAGGAGAAGATACAGAGAGAGTCAAGGAAGGAAGGAAGGAAGGAAGGAAGGCGCCATTTGGGGGGCGAAGGTGGAGGGAGCCCAGCCAGGGGTGGGTTGAGGATGAGCCAGGTGCCCCCAGGGAAGCTGAAGGAGCAAGAGGAAGGAGAGGAGGAAGGAGAAGGAGAGGAAGAGGACGATGATGGCGACGAAGAAGAAGAGGAGGACGAGGAGGACGAGGACGAGATTGTGGGGCTGGCGGATTATGGGGACGGGGCGGACTCCTTCTCGGACGGAGACCCCGAAAACGGCGGGGAAGGGGCCTGTGAGTAGACACAC